CTCGCCCGCGTCCCCGTGCCAAGGCGCGTCTCCTGCCTCGGCTCTGGGGGCATTTTGGGATGGTGAAGCCGGGCGGAGCGAGCACCTGGCCCAGCCTGGTGATGCCCAACATTGCTTCTTCTCTGCCTCATCCATCTCTGGTCCCAGCCTGGTGATGCCCGGCATCGCTTCTTCTCTGCCTCATCCATCTCTGGTCCCATCCTGGTGATGCCCGGCATCGCTTCCTCTCTGCCACATCCATGTCTGGTCCCAGCCTGGTGATGCCCAGCATCGCTTCTTCTCTGCCTCATCCATCTCTGGTCCCAGCCTGGTGATGCCCAGCATCGCTTCCTCTCTGCCTCATCCATCTCTGGTCCCAGCCTGGTGATGCCCAGCATCGCTTATTCTCTGCCTCATCCCTCTCTGGTCCCAGCCTGGTGATGCCTGGCATCGCTTCCTCACTGCCACATCCATCTCTGGTCCCAGCCTGGTGATGCCCGGCATTGCTTCCTCTCTGCCACATCCATCTCTGGTCCTTCGCTGGGTGTCTCCAGCCGTTCCCAGCAGGGCTGGGCTCCCCTCTGACACACGAGCGAGCAATGCCATGAGGAAAGGGGGACCGGCCACCCTGGGCACGCAGCCGAAGATGTCCCTGGATGTTCTGACACCAGTGCGGTTGTCCCAGGGGTGGTCAGCATGGGCCACCCTTCCTGAAGCTGCTGCCAACGTCCTCCCGCTCTTTCCCATGCTCACATGGAGCATTTCCCTTCCCAATGCCTGACTCACATCGATAGAGCCAGGGTGAGCCCCAGCCCGTCGCCGGCGAGCTGGGAGGGCTCCGTGCCCAGCGCCAGGCTTTCGATCAACCAGCTGGAAGATCACGGGCAGGGGTTTGTTTCAGGCGTCGCCCTGTCCTGCCTTTGGCTTTCGGCAATGGGGGGGGGGCCCGGCGAGGGGCCGGGGGATTTGCTGGGATGCTCCCCGGGGGGGTCATCAGTGACCCAAAGCGATTGCTGCCCGGGCACGCCGCGGGTCGGGGTGGTGTTGAAGGGGTGCGACTCGCTTCCCCATGCAAGCAGGGTCACCAGAAGGCCCCGAGGGTGGGCACATCACCCCGGGGGTCCCTGCTCGCACCCGCCCCGTGCCCGCACCCGGCGGGGACCCCAGAGCCAAGACCATTCATGCCCGTGTGCTGGAGCACGGCCAGGAGCTGCCGTGCTCTCTGGAAGACCGAGCTTTACGTTCAGCTTTCCATGAAGATGTTAAACAGGAATTTGGGACGCCCGCGGCCCCCGGTGACCAGCCGAGCTCCTGGAGGAGTGAGACGTTGGGGGGATTCAATGTCTGGGCGGATCTGTGTGTCTCTTCCCACGCGTGTTTCCAACGCGCTCCGAAATTCTGGTGAAGAGCTGCCTGCTGGGACAGGTCCCCGTCTCGCTGCTGAGCACCCTCCCGCAAGCTACTGAGGAGCTACCGGAGAGAGTCCAGCGCAGGGCTGTGAGGATGAGGAGGGGACTGGAGCATCTCTCCTACGAGGAGAGGCTGAGGGAGCTGGGCTTGTTCAGCCTGGAGAAGAGAAGGCTGAGAGGGGACCTTAGAAATGCCTCTAAATATCTGCAGGGTGGGGGTCAGGAGGACGGGGCCAGACTCTTTCCAGTGGTGCCCAGCGACAGGACAAGGGGCAATGGGCACAAACTGAAGGAGAGGAAGCTCCAGCTGAACAGGAGGAAGAACTTCTTCCCGCAGCCTGCTCTGGGTGACCCTGCTTGGGCAGGGGGTTGGACTGGGTGACCCCAGAAGTCCCTTCCAACCCCTGCCATGCTGAGATTCTGTGAAGCTGTGCCCAACCCAACCACGCGCCTCTCAGCATCTCCCCCTGCTCGCTCCTCCCTTGCTGCCTGTCCTCCTGTCTCCCTAATTATTCCAGTTGCCTTCCTAACGAGTCGCAGCGCGCAGGTGCCGAGAGCAGTGGGTTGAAGGTAACGCACATCAGCCACCCGGCTCCGTGCAAGCGACTGGATCATCCTCGCGCTGGTTAGCTCGGACCTGCCGGAACCTGTTCAGCGCCGCGGAAACGCCGCGCTGTGCCGGGAGCGATCGGGAGCGAGGAGTTCTGGCTCCTTGGTGGTTGAAATTACCGGGCGCTTTTCAATCTTTCTCCTCCGCCTTCCTCCAGGCTGGCGTGGGGTTTGCAGCGCTGGTGGGGTCTGCGCCGAGCGGGGTGGTGGGGAGGCTGGGGGTCTACGTGTGGGGCACGCCATCGACGTGGGGTTGGTTGGGGGACCCCCCCAACAGAGAGAAGATGCAAGGAGGTGGGAAGCATTATCCCGTAGCGTGGTTTGGTATTGAAGTGGCACATG